GAGGATGAGGAGATTCTGTGGTTACAGTAAAAGTCACTAACCTCCGTCTGTACATGGCAGGTGCTGTTGTCGTGCTGAGGCCTGTGACGTCACTCAGGGAGCAGCAGAGCGGTCCAGACTTGTAGAACAGAAGCCAGAGCCAAAACGTAATCCAAAGAGTAGTCAAGGGAGAGCAAGGGTCGTTACCATGGTCAGACATGCAGAAAAATCCAGAGAGGGCAATATGGGCAATAGTCCAAGGAAATTCTTTTGACATGTATCTTATCTATTGTTGCTCAATTAAAAAACAACAAAAAAAAAAAACACTGGAGTCATCAGCCTCGACCCAGGTCTCTGTGATGCAGAGCAAATCCAAATGACGGGAACTGAAAAGTCCCACAAGATGAAAGTTTTGTTTGTTAAAGACCTGGCGTTCACTTGACCAATCCTGGCAGAAACCGCAGCCTGCTGTCTGATGGACGGGGGGGGGGGGGGGGGGGCAGCATCTTCAGGCTCTGCAGGTTCACTCTGCGCTGGTAGAGATGAGAGAATCAAGAGGGGTGGGGGAAAACGCCCAGATTCAGGCCGGTGACAGGTAGCAGGCAGCTGTCAACAGGATCCAGGAAACGCCATAGCACAGGGAAAGACGGAAATAATCCATTTCTTGTCTGAGAAATGGATGTAGAACGGGCCAGGCAGATCTTTAGTTTCACCAGCTGTCCTCCACGTTTACCGCTGTAACAACAACATTTTTGCCAGGAGGGGGGTGTTTGAGCACAGGTGCCCATGATCAAAGACACTGAGATTGCCAACAACATGTTGAATATCCAGGAGGGACTGACGATTGTACACAAGCACAAACTTAGTGCTGAGCACAAAACAAGGAAATAAAACAAACGAAATCAAGAGCGACAGACAGACGACCACACACACACTGGCGCCATCTTGCCACCATGTTGTGTTGTGTGTGTTACCGAGTGTGTGTGTTACTGAGTGTGTGTTGTGTGTGTGTTACATGTAGAAGTGTCCAAACAGAGCGTTGAGTGTTGCTCTGTTGTCATCAGGAAGTTTCCGAAGTAACCGTCTGTATTCTTTAAACCTGCTGCGTTCATCTGAAATCACTGAGAAACAAAACTATGTTAGATCTAGTAATACTACAGAAGTACTGATGGAGTACTATTCCTGAGGTACTGATGATGTACTACAGCTACTACTGATAAAAGTACTAGAGTAGGAAGTAATGTGTAATGTAATGTACTCCAAAGTATCATATAAAATATTAAATGCACTTGTGGTACATTTAAGGATTACGTAAAGTACTTCAGGTACCTGCAGCCTGCCGCCACTGCTCTCGGTCTGCGTCAGGAATCAGGCTCTGTTTGTCTCGGATGTACTGTTTGAGGGCGGAGCTAGCGTCTAGAACTCCCTGCTCATCATTCTCCAGGGGGGCAGAGTTTGGTGAAGTCATCAACGCTTCCACAAGTTTTTTCACTTTGGTCGCGAGACCGCAGCGCCGGTACACACCTTCCACCTTCAGACCTTGAGACAGAAACAAAGCTAAACTTCATCTCCTGTGGTTTCCATGGCAACAATTTAGAGGTTATGAGGAAGTGTAAATAAGAAATTTTTATTTGTTTAATTTCCGACACTGTGCCAAGGCAGAAACATGTCTTTTCCCAATACTTCTTAATTCTGAGGTAACGATGGTGTACTAGTACTGAGGTTCTGAAGGAGTACTGGTACCGAGGTACTGATGGAGTACTCATACTGAGGTACACGCAGAGAACTGGTACTGATGTTCTGATGGAGTACTAGTACCAAAGTACTGATGGAGTATTAGTACTGAGGTACAGATCGAGTACTAGTACCACAGTTCAGATAGAGTACTAGTAATGATGTACAAGATGGAGTACTAGTAATGTGGTTCAAATCAAGCACTAGTACCGAGGTTATGATGGAGCACTAGTATGGAGGTACTGATTGAATATGAGTATGGAGGTGATGGAGTGCTAGTACTGAGGTACAGATGGAGTACAACTACCATGATTCTGATGGTGTACTAGTACCAAGGTACTGATGGTGTACTAGTACTGTGGTTCTTATGGAATACAAGTACAGAGGGTACTGATGGTGTACTAGTTTTGAGGTACTGATGGTGTACTAGTATCAGGGTACTGAGGAGTACTAATACTGTAGTTCTTATGCAAAACTAGTACTGTGGTCCTGATGATATACAAGTACTGATGTTCTTTCTAATGGAGTACTAGTAATGAGGTATTGATGGAGTACTAGTACAGAGGTAGTGATGGTGTACTAGTACTGTGGTTCTTATGGAATACTAGTACCCTGGTTGTTAGGTAATCCTAGTACCGAGGTACTGATGGTGTACAATTGGACTTCCGGTAAGATGGCGCCCATGCACATGGCTTGAAATCCACCTCTGCTGATGGTGTTGGGATTATTTTTGTTTTGTTTGTTCTTTTATCTGTGACATAAACTCACTGCTGATGTATGACCAACAGCAGCTTCTGGATCTTCGTTTTTCTGTCACCAGTGTCGCTTATTTGGAACAATACGAGCGTACCTCTGGACCCCCCCTCCCCCCTGCTGGCGGACGTGCTAGCTTACCTCCGCTGCAGTCCTCACCTGCCTGCCCAGAGATATCGCTTCAGACGCTGGGGAAAACGTGATGGGCGGCTGGTAAAGCTTAAAGCCCTGCGCACTGCATCTTCCTCTTCAGCTGGTGGTCATGGTTTCCATCACCAGCTTCCCGTGTGCCCGGACCAGGTAAACAATGGGAGTTGTCAGCCAGTGCGCAGCTCGGACCGACCCGGAGGGGCTGTTGTTGAAAACCTGAGGCCACTGATGCGTGCAAACTTCACCGCTGCTGGCTCCACTTTGGACAGTATCCGGATGTGTTTGGTCAACGCAAGATCTGTTACCAACAAAACTTTTATCCTCAGGGACTACTTTCAAGAGCACGATTTGGACTTTCTGTGCATCACAGAGACTTGGATGTCTCCGGGTGAGTCCAGCGCCTTGACGGAATTATTGCCACCAAACTGTCTGTATTTTAACGCCCCGCGGCCATCAGGCCAGCACGGTGGTGGATTATTAACAATATTCAAACCAACTTTTTTGAGGGCCTGAGAGCTGTCAGCTGACAGCTCCAAGCAAGATAGCACCTGTGTTTGGCCTCGCTGCTGCTGGTTGTCCCAAAACTGCGGATGGCCGTTATTTTTCGGCATTTTTTATCTGTTTACTCCTGTTTTTATTTTGTATTGGGGATGTTCAACCTATGCTGGTCTATGATCGACAAACGCTACTGTCTATTCGGGGTTCCATGCAGAGGAGCCACGCCCCACCCTCAGGTACCAGCTCATTCTCACCAGAGAGCGGCTTCCCATCTGGCGTTCTCTGCGACCCTCAACGGTGTTCGCACGGATCTCAGAGAAAGAGGAAGAGAGGCAAGAGAGCCGGTGTCCAAGTGAAGCTCAGGCTTTTCTGGAAGCGTGGGGTCGTTGGCAAATGACTCCATAAAACTCTTTCCATTTGTTGCGCTGGCTTTTGGTCCAATGGGGATTTTACAAACACATCCCGACCCGGCTGTGTTCTATCTGGACCTCTGCACTGCTGCTACCTCTGCTCTGTGTATCCAGAAGCTCCGGACTCATCACCATTTCTTCCCTCCATTGATGGTCTACGTAATATCCATGGATCTAACCCTCAGTCTCTCCGTCACCTGGAACGGGCCGCTACGGCAAGTACCCCACCTTCTTCCCCGCTGCGTATGGCTCGGTTTAATGTTTGTTCAATCACTAACAAATCGTTCGTGCTGAACGACTTCATAAAATCCCGAAATCTGGATTTTTTTGTTACTGAGACCTGGCAACGTGATTCAGATTTTATTTCTCTTATCGAACTGTGTCCTGGTGGCTATTCTTTCATCAGCCAGCCGAGGCTGTCTGGCCGTGGAGGAGGCCTCACAGCCATGTTTAGAAACGGGTTTTCCTGCCGCACATCTAATGTTGGACGTTTTGCATTGTTTGAGCTGCAGCTCTTTAAAATTGGGATTAAGGACCCATTTTATTGTGCAGTGGTTTACCGTCCACCTGGTCCAAACGGTACTTTCTCAAAGGATTTTAGTGACTTCTTATCAATGTCAATGTCAATTTATTTATATAGCACATAAAAACAACAAAAGCTGACCAAAGTGCTTTACAGTTAAGACAGATTAAAATAAAAAAAAAAGAGTAAAAATGCATCTAGTGCCACTCAAAAACATAAGTTAACAGTAAAAACAACACACAACAACAATAAAATCAGCTCTAAATTTGTTCTCAGACTCTGCGTGGATGACATGCCAAGGAATCCAGATGAGTCTTCAGCAAAGATTTAAAAGTCTCAACAGTCTGAGCGCTCTTTAAATTCTCAGGTAAACTGTTCCACAGTTTTGGAGCAGCAACCGCAAAAGCCCGATCACCTCTGGATTTCAGTTTGGATCTGGGGACATCTAAGAGGAACTGGTTGGTAGACCGGAGTGCTCTTACTGGAGTGTAGATGTTAATGAGATCACATAAATATGACGGGGCCAGACCTTTCAAGACTTTAACAACAAGCAATAAAATCTTAAAATCAATTCGAAAGTGGACAGGAAGCCAGTGGAGAGAAGCCAGGACAGGGTTATGTGTTCATGTTTTTAGTTGCTGTTAAAAGACGGGCTGCTGCGTTCTGGACACATTGTAAACGATGCAAAGATGATTTGTCTAAACCAACATACAGTGAATTACAGTAGTCCAAACGAGATGTGATAAAAGCGTGGATCACCTTTTCAAGGTCTCTGAAAGGGAGACAAGACTTCACCATGGCAATGAGTCTTAGCTGGAAGAAACTGGATTTCACAACTGTATTTATCTGTTTATCAAATTTAAAAGCACTGTCAAAAATAACTCCCAGATTCCTGACATTGGAGTGGCTGTATGAAGCCAAGGGGCCAAGCACATTAAGGGTATTACATTTACCAAAGCTGATGACTTCCGTTTTATTTTCATTTAGATTCAGAAAATTTAGTTTTAACCAGACTTTAATGTCATTTAGACAGTTCAAGAGTGGATCCAGTGAAGTGACCCTGTCTGACTCAATCGGAAGATATAACTGAGTATCATCAGCAAAGCAGTGAAAAGGGATGTTGTGTTTTCTAAAAATGGACCCCAACGGCAACATGTAAAGATTAAAAAGCAATGGACCTAAAATAGACCCTTGAGGGACCCCACAGATCAGAGGAGCTGGAGATGAAGAACATTTTCCTAAATGAACAGAAAAACTCGTGTCAGTCAGGTAGGATCTAAACCAGGATAGAACTGTGCCTTTGATACCGACCACCTGCTCCAGTCGTGACAACAAGATGTTGTGGTCCACAGTATCAAAGGCAGCAGAAAGGTCTAAAAGCACTAAAACAGCAGAGCTTCCTGCATCAACAGTTAAAAGAAGGTCATTAAAAACTCTTAAAAGGGCTGTCTCTGTGCTATGGCCTGATTTAAAACCTGACTGGAATTTTTCACCAATGCTGTTGGCAGTTAAAAACCTCTTAAGTTGATTAAAAACAACTTTCTCCAAAATTTTCGACAGAAAAGGCAGTTTAGAAATAGTTCTGTAATTTAAGAGCAGTGTTGGGTCGAGGTTTTTCTTCTTTATGAGAGGCTGCACCACAGCATGTTTAAAAGTAGGTGGAACACAGCCCGATGACAGGGACATGTTAATCAGGACAAGAACTAATGGACCAAGAGTGTTAAAAACTTCTTTAAACAGACGAGAGGGAACACAGTCCAGAGGTGAATTAGAAGGCTGCATGTGGTCCACGATGTCCTTTAAAACAACTAAAGTCACCGGCTCAAACTGTTCAAAGGAGGCTGCGGATGGAGGAAGTGAGGAGGGGTCTGTGTAAAGGTGTGTTGAGGAGGGTCTCAGAGCAGAGATTTTATCTATAAAAAACTTAGAAAACTGTTCACACAGTGCAGGAGATTCAGCAACATGAGCAGCATCACAAGGATTCACAACAGAGTTAAAAACATTAAAAAGAACCCGAGGTCTGTGACTGTTGTTTGAAACTATGTTAGATAAAAAAGCAGCTTTAACAGTTCTCTGATAATTTATCAAGCTGTCTTTAAAGATGTCCAAGGAAACCTGCAGTTTGTCTTTACTCCATTTCCTTTCTGCTCGTCTGCACGGGCGTCTGAGCGCGCGGGTGGATTCGCTCAGCCACGGCTGACATGACTTCCTCTTTTTGGTTTTTAGAGGAGCAACAGAGTTCAGAATGTCAGTGCACACAGAACTAAAAAGATCAGTAAGCTCGTCCACGTTGGACACAGAGCAGAACTGAGGGTTGCAGGAGACAGAGTCATTAAAGCCAGCGGAGAAGCGCAGCGCGGTGTTTGAATTAATTGCGCGTGCAGAACGCACAGATGGTCCAGCCCATTCCTTCCTGCCAGAGACCACCGCAGTGAACAGAACCGGTAGATGGTCAGATAAAAGAGCTCCACAGATTTCCACAGATGACACATTTATCCCATAAGACAGGACCAGATCCAGTGTGTGTCCTTTTTCATGAGTTGCACCCGTGACGGACTGTGTGAGATTAAAAGAGTCAATAATGTTCAGAAAATCTCTGACCAGAGGTCCAGCCTCACAGCACACGTGCAAGTTAAAATCACCAATTATTAAAAAGCTGTCGTATCGTAGCATAAGTCCCGTCATAAAATCAGTAAAATCTTTAATAAAATCTTTGCTGTGTTTCGGTGGCCGGTAGATTGTAGCGCAGAGTAAAAGAGGAGAGAAGTTTATCTCCACCATCTGAAGTTCAAAACTCTGGTAAAAATGAGTGGGGATCAGCCGACATTTAAAACTAGATTTAAAAACAGAGGCTAATCCACCTCCTTTACCGGTGGTCCGAGGAGAGCTGAAGAAAGTGCAGTCAGGAGGGAGAAGTTCAGAAAAAGGAGCCGACTCACCAACATGAAGCCAAGTTTCTGTCAAGAACATAAAATCCAGTTTTTTGGAGGTAAAAAAGTCATTCAGAATAAAAGTCTTGTTGGTTAGGGACCTTGTATTCAGCAAGGCTACTCGGAGAGTCTGATCCTTGATGCCCGCAGCAGGTGCGCGGGCCAGCTGGCCAAGATTTTTCAAGTTTATTGTGCCACGTTTGGAATTCCTTTCACGTCGCCAGTATGAAGACTCATGTTCCAAATGAAGAGATGGAGTCACAGATTTAATCCAACGATGTCTCCAGTCATACAGATAGTTGCTTGTATGATCGTGAGAGAGACCAGAATTGTTGCCAGATATTTTCAGATATGCTTTAATTCTCACCAAAAATCCTCCTCGCTTTCTGCGTCTCCTCGGGCGTCTCCGAGGTTGAAAGGCGCAGGGCGCACGACGCAGATAGTCCGGTATGTTTGACAGGTGAGGAGGTAGTTGTGATGAATCATTACTAGAACCAGATAGTGGCAACTTAACATGTCGAAGGCTGAGAAGAGTTGTGTGGTCATAGACGAGCAGAGCAGAGGCATCATAACAAAAAATACTAAAAAGCAAACAAACAACAAAAAACAAGCAGAGCATACGTGGCAAGCGGCTGGCGTAACTGGCGCCATTTTCCTGGATGACTGGATGAAAAAAAAAAAAAAAAAAAGCTACTTATCAGCTACTCTAAAGCTGTCCAGGCTGGTTATTGTTAGCGATTTTAATATCCACGTTGATGACGTCACTGACTCCTTGGCAAAGAACTTTATCAGTGTAATGGACTCTTTTAATTTCATTCAGCATGTGTCAGGACCGACTCACTCCAAAGGACATACCTTGGACTTTGTTTTTACTTTGGGTGTGAACATTGATTGTTTGTCTTCTGAGGACATTTTTATCTCTGATCATCACTGTATTCTTTTTAATTTATGTCAAACTGTTTTACAGCAATCACCTCGCCGTGAGGTCAGCTCTCGCTTTTTAAACTCCTCGACAGCAGACCTTTTTCTGGCTGAGTTTAATCCATTTTTATCTCCTTTAATGATGTAGTTTTACTGACTGATCATTTTAATGAACATTGTCTCTCTGTTTTAGACAATATTTGTCCTATCAAAAAGAGGTCATTGCCCGTCTCTAACCCCACACCGTGGATAAATGACAGCATTCGACGTTTAAAGCGTTCTTGCAGAAAAACTGAACGTTTGTGGAAGAAAACTAATCTACAGGTGCATCTTCTGTTTTTAAAGGACCTTTTAGCCTCTTTTAACAATGCTGTTAAAGAATCAAGGGTAACCTATTTCTCTAACCTGATTGCTAGGAGCAAAGGAAACTCCAAACTGTTTTTTAATACTATCAGGGACATTACCACCCCAGCTTCACCTTCTGTTCCCATCTCTTCAAATGAGGATTGCCAACTTTTTCTTTCTTATTTTATAGACAAAGTCAGTAAGGTGAGAAATAATATTCCTTCACCTGCACCTGGGCTGACTGTTCCCTCTCTAGCTCGGCCTGTTATTTTAGACTCCTTCCAGCCAGTGTCCCTTCATGAGCTAGCTAAGCTTGTTAGCTCCATGAAGACATCCTCCTGCTCTCTGGACATTCTACCTGCAGGCTTGTCTTTCAGTGCATTGGTCCTAATGTACTGAACGTAGTAAATGCTTCTTTAGCTTCTGTTCAAGTACCTGTTTGCCTAAAGAGTGCTGTCATCCACCCACTCTTAAAAAAGGTTGATTTGGATTCCTCTTCATGTAACAGTTACAGACCAATCTCCAAACTTCATTTTCTGGCTAAGATTATTGAGAAGGTTGTGGTCCAACAGTTAACTGCTGCTCTTGATCAACACAGTATTCTGGACCATTTTCAGTCTGGGTTTCATAAATCCCACTCAACTGAGACAGTTCTCCTTAGGGTCTCAAATGATCTATTGATGCAACGAGAGGCAGGAAAATGTTCTGTGCTGCTTATGCTGGATCTGACGTCGGCTTTTGACACTGTTGATCATCTGACCTTGCTGGACAGGCTGAAGAGCTGGGCTGGTATTTCAGGTTCTGCCTTAAAATGGTTGTCCTCTTACCTGTCCAATAGATCAGTCTTCTTGGCTTCCTCTACTTTCAGATCCCAGTCCTGCCCTGTTCATTTTGGTGTTCCTCATGGCTCTGTTCTGGGGCCACCATAACCCTCAGCACTGGCTCTCCTCAGGGATGTGTGTTGAGCCCCCTCCTGTTTACTCTGCTCACGTATGATTGTGCAGCTACCCATCCAGGCTGTCACATTGTAAAGTTTGCAGATGATACAGCGGTGGTGGGATGCATCACAAACAATGATGAGTCCAGCTACAGGCAGGAGGTGGAACACCTGGAGAGCTGGTGCAGAGAGAATAACCTTCACATCAATGTGAAGAAGACAAAGGAGATGATTGTGGACTTCAGAAGGAACAAAAACATCTACACCCCCCTGAACATAAGAGGATCTGCGGTGGAAGTGGTCTCCAGCTACAAGTACTTGGGTGTACACATGAATGACAACCTCAGCTGGAGCAACAACACCACCAGCCTGATGAAGAAAGCTCATCAGAGACTCTACTTCCTCAGACGGCTGAGACGAGCTGGTCTGGAAGCTCAGTCCTCACCTCCTTCTACAGGTGTGCAGTGGAGAGCATCCTGTGCTCGAGCATCAACGTGTGGCATGGAGGCTGCACAGCTGCAGAAAGAAAAGCTTTGCAGAGAGTGGTGAAGGCTGCACAGAAATCTGTTGGAATCAGCCTCCCCACCATCACAGACATCTACACCTCCAGATGCAGGAAGAGGGCCACCTGCATCATGAAGGACCTCACTCACCCAGCACACACACTTTTTGCCCCGCTCCCCTCAGGAAGGAGGTTAAGGAGCATTAAGTGTAGAACCACTAGACTGAGGAACAGCTTCTACCCTGAGGCTGTTAGACTCATGAATCTCTAACTAGAATAATCACTGTGAAAAACCATATCATGTTGCTGCTGATCTGTTTCATGTTGCTGCTGATCTGTTTCAATGTTGATGTGTTCATGCGTGCACATCTGCTCACAGACTCATGTTCATGTTTGTGCTGATGTTCAATGTTTTATGTTATGAGTGCTTAGTGTATATTTAGTTGATGTTTTTCTTAGTTCATATCTTAGATGTTAT